TTATATATATATATATATATATAGCAATGGCAACATCAACACCAACATCATAGCAATATCCATATCAAAATCAAAAACAAGAGCCATATATGTAAGTAATTCTCCATTCCCATTCATATATTTCTATTACCCGGGACCGCCCCCCCCGAAATCGGACCCACCGAATCCCGAGCCCCCCGGACCCTCTGGACCCCTCGGATCCGTGGCCCCTGGGACCCCCTGGACGCCCCTGCAGGAGGCCCCCCAAGCGTCTCAGAGCTCCGGGAAGCACTTGCTGGGCCGAGGCTGCGGGCCCAAATCGGTCAAGAGGGCGTCCGAGCGCCCCCCCGAGGGCCCCTAAGAGGCCCCAGACACCCACCAGACGCCCGAAGACGACCCGAAGAAGACCCCCAAGAGGCCTCCAAAACGCAGAAAAACATTGATCGCCCATGGTTTTTGCATGATTTTGGGAAGGCCCTGTTCGGTCTTCGGGGCGTCCGAGACTGCCTGGGAGGCTCGAAAATCGCCCCAGAACCATCCGCAAGGGCCTCCAGGCAGCCCAAGAGTCCCAAGACAGCATAACAGGGTTCCAAGATGGCCTACGAGAGCCCCATGACGGCCCAAAAAGGCCCCAAGACACCCTCCGAAGCATTCCAAATCGTGACCCGGTCGTTCAGGGAGACCGCGGTTGGAGGCAGGGTGGCCCGAGGAAGCCCCAAGAGGCCCCCAGCAGACGCCCAGGAGGCCTCCAGAAGACCTTAAGAAAGCCTGAAGAACTGCGGTGAGGCCCCACAGAGGGTCTCCAAGGAGGAGCCTCCGCAAAAAGAGCTGAGGAGGATGGGGAAGAATTCGCAGGGTAGGGCGAGAGGAGGAAAAAGAAACATAGAGGCAGGATAGCGAATCACATTATTATACTGGCGATGCAAGGGGCAACAAATAATGATCGCTGAATTGTCTGTTAGACCTACCTGGCGTTCCGCCTGCATGCCAAATTTCAAGGACCAAGGTGCATAGCTCAAAGCGCCAACGCAGTCGTGCTGATATATATATATATATATATACACATGTGCTTCAATTCTCTCTGACTACATGTGTGTATGCATATATATACCCCTTATCCTTCCGCCTCTTTCTCTCTCTCTCTCTCTCAACCTGTTTATATACATACACGTGCATATATAGAGATGTGTACATATGTAAATATACATATAGCCTCTCACGCTTGTATACGCGAGTGCATTGGCGCTTCGGGCCACGCACCTTTGCCCGTCAATTTCGGCCTGCGGGCGGAATGGGAGAAAGGAACTAAGCACAGGCAGCGGTACCTGCGTGTTGCCGTTTTCGGAGTCGTCGTTCTAAGGTGTTGATTCTTCTCCTTCCCTCAACTTCCCTCTCCCTCTTCCTCGTCGTCGAGATACCCTGAGAGCCCTTCCCCGTCCTCCTCAGATGTTCCCAACTATTATGTGGTGTCGGGCCCTCGCCCCGCGTCACCTCGCTCCCGCCCCTCTCCTCCCTCATCCTATCCCTGCCCCTCTCCTCCCTCATCCTATCCCTGCCTCTGCCCTGACAAGTTTCGTGGCCCCATAGAGAGATCCACCAAAGGCCCCAGTGGCAGGGTTCGTATGCGTCTCCCCGCCCACCGCAAGTCCATGTTGGCACACCCCTCACACGTGCTGTGGCCACACAGGAAGCTCCACCGAAGGCCCCAGTCTCAGAGTTCACATGCGTCTCCTCGCCCACCGCATGTCCATGTTGGCACACCCCTTACGCGCTTCGTGGCCACATAGGGATCTCCACCGCAGGCCCCAGTGGCAGGGTTCGCATGCGTCTCCCAACCCACCGCAAGTCGATTCCCATAGGGAGCTCCACCGAAGACCCCGGTGGCAGGGTTCGCGTATGCGCCTCCCCGCACACCGCTTGTCCATGTCGGAACAACCCTCACACGTGTCGTGGCCACACAGGGAGCTCCACCCAGGGCCCCAGTGGCAAGGTTCGCATGCGTCTCCTCGCCCACCGCATGTCCATGTTGGCACACCCCTCACTCGCCTCGTGGCCCCATAGGGAGCTCCACCCAGGGCCCCAGTGCTTGGATTTGCATGCAAGTAAACCCCATCACACGCTTCGTGGCCAAACAGGGAGCTCCACCGAAAGTCACAGAAGCAGCGTTCGCATGCGTCTCCCCGCCCACCGCATGTCCGTGCCGACACACCCCTCACACGCTTCGAGGGCCCCATAGGGAGCTCGACCCAAGGCCCCAGTAGCAGGGTTCGCATGCGTCTCCCAGAACACCGCATGTCCATTTCGGCACACCCCCATCACACGTGTCGTGGCCCCATGAGGTGCTCCACTGAAGGCCCCGGTAGCAGGGTTCACATGCTTCTTCCGGCCCACCACATTCCGTTTGGCACGCCCCTCACACGCTTCGTGGCCCCATAGGGCGCTCCACCGAAGGCTCCAGTGGCAAGGCTCGCATGCGCCTCCCCGCCCACCGCATGTCCATGTTGGCACACCCCTCACGCGC